ATTTATCTTTATTTGTATCATCATTTTATTACTATTATCATCATATCGCCCTTCTTTTCGTCACTATCACCATTATCATTATTATTAAGATACCAAATTCAAGTAGGAAACTTCTGAAGGCTTTACTTAATCTAAATAATTATCATATATCTTGCGAAAATAGGAAAGATTTTTTATATCAAAATACACACACACACACACACACACACATATATATATACATACACATACACATATACATATATATACATATACACACACACACACACACATATATATATATACGTTATCTTATAACCGTATCTGCCTTTTAGCTACTTTAAGCCCTTGCCATTACATTATAATAAAGGTATGTAAGTGTTTGTGTGCGTACATATGTGAATTCTGTCTGTTGGTATTTTCTTTTTCATTGACATTTTTCAACAATACAAACACCATTTGGCAAATAAGCGAAAAGGAACATTATGAAAACAGACCTAGAATAAATACTGTCGTTTTTTTTGTCTTAGTAAATATGCTGAGCCTTTCCGTTCGTAGGCTGACGTGTAGCCTAAGGACTGGGTTAAGCTACAGTTTAGCTCCGCCCTTTCGCTTTGCTTCACCTCCTCCTCTTCTACCTCTCTCCTTTCTTCTCATTCCTCCTTCCCCTCTTGCTTGAGTCACCTCCTGCACCTCTATCTATTCTTCTTTTTTATTCTTCATCTTCCCTTTTCATTGTATTCTCTCTTTCCCTCGCCCTCCCTCCCCCTTCAGACTTCTATCTCCCCCTCAACTCCTTCTCCGTAGCTCTCTCTCTCTCTCTCTCTCTCTCTCCTCCCCCTTCTCCCCCTTCCCTTCCTTTTTCGCTCCCTCTCCCTCCCCCTCCCTTCCCATATCCTACATCTCCTCCCCCTCCTCTCCTTGCCCCATACCTTCCCCTAGACCGTCCCCCCCCCCTCCCTACTTGCCCTTCCTCCCACCCTCGACCGTTGGGGAAATTCCCGGAAAATATTTGACGCAGAGGTGAGCAAAAACAAAACAAAAATAAAATAAATCAGAATAAAAAATAAGGAAGGTAGAGCAGATTCGGAGAAGGAAATTATGAGTAAAGGCAAAAGAAAAACGGGAAAATATATTATGAGTAGTATGATATACAAGAAAGAGGTAATGCCGATAACAATAAATGCAGGGGAATATTTGATAAAGCAGAGAAAGAGTAAAATAAAGATAGACGGAAAAGGCGCACGAAGAATAACAGAAAAATGATGAATCATTGAGAAAAGAAACGAAGAGAGGAAAGCATGAGCAAATAAAACCGAAGAAAATGAAAATAAGCGAAGGAGAGAAAACAAAGGAAGTGTGAACGAAAAGAAAAATATAGAGTTGTGACGCAGAAAAAAGTAGATGGCAAAGAAGAGAAAATGATAAGGATAAAATGCAAATTAAATAACCGATTAATTCATTTATGGACATCCATTTTTCCTTTTATTTCAAAACATGAAAAGATAAAAGAGAAAAAAATACTGATGGGAAGAGGAAAAAGAAGAGACGAGCAACAGAAAAAATATAAAAGGTGAAGAAGAAAAACGAAAAAAAAAATAAAGCTAGAGAAACAAGACGATAAAGGCAGCGCATGATTCAAAAAAGAAAAAGAGACGAATATTGGAGATAGAATAGATTTTAAAAAGAGAAAAGCACAAAGGGAGAAAATATCGTAGATGAGGATTCATCTTTTGAGACCAGATTGACAAAGAGAGAAAACCGTTAACAAGATACAAAAGATATGAACAGTGAACAGTGAAAAGGAAAAAATAAATGACTTGATAAACAAGAGAGGGAATCAGAGAACGCAAATGAAGAGCAAAAATTAAACAGAATGATAGCAAAAGAACAATAATAAAGGAAAATAGAAAAGAAAGATACAAAATGATAATATCGGGAATTACCAAAATCAGTACAAGGGAGGGATACGAAAAAAAAATAGAGAGGAAGAGAAAGGGGGAGAAGGAGAAAATTCCACGAAAAAGAAGAAGTACATACAGTAAGAAAATGATAAATGCTTCCCACAGAATCTCTTTATCGTTAATAGGAACCGAGTGGGCGTACCATGCCGTGTGCTGTTACGGGGTCCTGGTTTACGTCATCAAATACGAAAAATTATTTTGGGTAAAAATGTATATGTTATGAAACAATACGCATTCATATACATAATTTCATACCAAAAAATAAATAAATAGATAGAAAAATAATTTTAAAAATAGAAAAATGAATATATTGATAAGCAAGTCAACACACATAAGCATAAGCTCAAGGCTGATAAAGCATCGGGCAACTTCGAGGTCAAGGAGCCGGGTGATTGAGGTGGGCGGAGTGGATGAGGTGGGCGAGAAAGAGTGGTAAGGGTGGTGATGGGATAGGCAAGGTGGGGGGGGGGGGGGGGGGGGGAGGGGAGGGTACAGAGGCTATACGGTTTCAGGGTCAGTATCCTTACGACGCAACAGGGGAAACAGAAGCGCACTGGGGGAAGGCACGACGGGGTTTTAGTTGAATTTGGGCTTTCTGAGAAACATTCTATCCTTCTGTAGGTATAAGTGTATACGTATGTGTGAATGTTTAAGTATGTGTGCATATATATATATATATATATATATATATATATATATATATATATATATATATATATATGTATGTATGTATATGTACATACACACATACATACACATACACACACACACACACACACACACACACACACACCACACACACACACACACACACACCACACACACACACACATACACACACACATATATATGTATATATATATATATATATATATATATATATATATATATATATATATATATATATATATATATATATATATATATATATATATATATGTATATATGTATAGTATACACACACATACATACATCTCTCTCTATATATATATATAGAGAGAGAGACAGGCAGACAGACAAACAAATAGAAAAAGAAAGACACAGACAGGCATGCAATAGACTAACAGACAGACAGAAAGAAAGAGACTACGTTGCGAAAACAGGAAAGAGGGAAGGAAATTTCACAATACATTTCGTACTGACTTATTTACATTTATCTACTGTAAATGAACATGTCTGTGTATGTGACTGCGAGTATAGTTGTGTTATTGTGTGAGTTTGTGCGTAAATGTATGTTATTGACTTTGTTTGTATGTGCTATCGGGTGTCCATGTACGTGACCATATCTGTTAGTACTTTTCCGAAAAATTGAATGAACGTGAGTGTAGGAAATATATCATCTTTCCTTTCCTGACTCACGAAGCCTGCCTATTTTTTTCCTTGATTAGGCAAAGAAAATCCCCTTAAATTTCCTAACAACTGTCTCTATTACTTCGATGGTGATTCAGAAGCCAGTGTCAATCTTGCGATGATGAAATTAGGACGAGTTTTTACAGTTTGGTGACTTCAACGCTCCTTAAATAGTGATCTGCTCGTCTTTGATTTGTCATTTTTCTTTATTCTTTTTTACTTTAAATAGATGAGAAATAAGGAGATAAATGCTGATAACAACGACGGTGAAGATCCTGTGACAATAGAATAATATCATTAATGAAAAAGATTATAATACTTATGACAATTATTATAATAAGAATAACAATAACAGCAATAATAAAAATGACAATAATAATAATGATAAAAATAATGATAATACCAAACATATTAATTATAATAATCATAATGATGATAACTGCGAAATTAATAATAATAATGATAGTGATAACAACAATAATGATGATAATAATGATTACTATCATCATTATTATCATTATGATTATTATTTTCTATCATTGTCATTATCATTAGCATTGTTATCATTGTTACTATTATCATCATTATTATTGTAATTATCATTATCATAATTATTATTAATACTATCATCAAAATCATTATCATTATTCATATTATCTTTATCCTTATTTTTGTTAACATTAATGATAATAATAATAATAATAATAATAATAACAATAATAATAATAATGATAACAATAATGATTAGCAGTAGTAGTAGTATCAATATTATTATTATTATTATCATTATGATGGTTGTCATCATTATTACCATTATCTTTATTATCAATATTATCATTATCATTATTATCGTTACTAGTATTATTACTATCATTATTATTAGCATTATTGTTATTATTATTATTATTATTATTGTTATTGTTATTATTATCATTATTATTGTTATTATTATCATTATTATTGTTATTATCATCATTATCATTGTTATTATTATTATTATTATTTTCATTGTCATCCTTTTAAAAGTACAAAAGATAACTGACGTAATGATGATGATGATGATTAGGATGGCGATGATGATGATGATGATAACAGCATCTACTATGAAAATAAGAATATCACGCGCAATTTCAGTAACAATCGCTATGCCAAGAAGTGTAAGAGGGAGAAAACAACAAACACATTAATGATAACGATATTCATACAAATGGTAATGACAACAACACCAACCCCCACTCATAACAACGCCCCTGATCTTGAACCACAACAGTTACCAAGACGCAGTTGGCAGGAACCTGTGTCGCAAGTGTAAGGCAGGCGACCTATATAGCATGGGGAAGACCTATGTACTTCCCCCTCAGCGCTGCGGTCGTGCGTTAAAGGCAGAAACACCCAAGTTTTCTCACTGTCGGCGGGGAAGTCCTTTTTGCCCGAGGCTCCGCGCTCAGAGATGAGTTGGTTGAAGACGCGTCGTGATTGGTCTGGAGGGAATGGGGGTGCCCGTTGGTGAGATTTTGAATTTTGAATTACGGAGGGGCTAAATATTTTTTTAGCGGGTTTCATTGTTTTTTGGTTTTGGTTATGTTGTAAGAGTTACTAATAATGAAAGCAAGGGTGGATCATTTTTCCCTGTAATGGCTGATAAATCTGTGACTTATTTAAGTGTTAGCAACTCGATTCAACGTATATAAACCTGAAGAGGTCAAG